GGCTTGACCTCTGTGTAAATAAGGAATTAGCATCTGGTTTCAGCAGCCCCTTCAGGCATGGGGCTTTGTCATCGCGATACCTGCTTTCATCCGTAAACTACCACGGCAGCTCCCCGGGAAGGCAGCCAAGCTAATAATCCCCCCAAATGGTGCAATAAAATACCCACAGAGGTGGAGCCTTTAAATCATGCCAGAACCTCGGCTTTGCTGCCCGGTGCTAGTGTGTGCCCCTGTGCTGGCTGGTGTGTGCCGGGTAGGCTTGGGCCAGAGCGCTGGGATGCCGGAGCAGGGATGGAGGACAGCACCAGTGTTCGCTCAGTGCTTTTCCTTGCCAGGTGCCACCTAAGCACCAGCTTCTCCTGGAGCACAGCCAGCTTGGCTAAACTAGCACCCGTGGGTGATGCAGCCAGGCATGGGCTGGGGTGCACCGGCTCGTGCAGTGCCTGGGCACAGGGGGACAGTGGCTTGGCCAGTCTGGCTGGCACATATGGGGATGTTCTGCCTATCCTAAGTGGCTCTGGTCCCCAGGACTGGCTGGCAGGAGCGGCAGCATCACACTGAGCCGGGTCTCCCTCTGCTCCTCTCCCCGCTGGAGCATTAGGAAGCTGGCAGCGTATTGTTTGATGAGCAGATAATCCGCTGAATTGCAAACAGCTTTACCCAATTGAAGAGGCGGATTACCGCTCTCCAGCTTAATCATGTTGACATCTCGGAGAGTAGCCAGTGCTCGTCCTCTCTGGCGCGTGGCGAGGGGCTCGATGGCAGTGTGGGGTCTCCCGGTAGTGGCGTGCCGCGGGGCTGGGGGGCAAGATATGGGGCAGCCAGCCGTGACCCTCACTGTTGTGCCTCCCTGCAGGTTCACAGACGCAGAGGCAGTGGTAATGGGCGACGTGACCTACGGCGCGTGCTGTGTGGACGACTACACGGCCCGGGCCCTGGGCGCTGACTTCTTGGTGCACTACGGACACAGCTGCCTGAGTAGGTGACACTCTACCCTGGGGCGCTGCTGAGGTGGCCACACATGATACCGCGGAGGCTACACG